TAGTATCTTGTTTGATCCCCACAAGCAGCAGGTATCATCCTCATTTTAGAGTTAAGGCAATTGAGACTCAGGAAGCCTAAGTGTCTTCCCAAGCCACATAGCTAATAGTAGAAATATCATTAGTGACAGTTATTAAGTACTCATTATCTGCCAGACTCTATTCTAAGTACTTTTACCATGTGTGAACCTTTATAATCTTTGTAACAACCAATGTGGCAATGAACATGATTGCAAGTTCATTATTATTATTTTATCCTTGGTTTACAGATGAGGAAATGTAAACAAAGAGCAGGTAAGCATCTTACCTAAGTTCCTGTATTTCATATGTGGTTGAACTGGGACCGAAGACCTGGAAGTATGGCCCTGGAGTCTGGGTTACTTGGTGCTTCATTACATCACCTCTGCCAGCAACTGACAGAGGCAAGACTACTCACAGGGGTTCTGACCACACATTCTAGGTTATTCGTTTAATAAAAATATCCCCAAACAAAACCCTAAAATGTGTACTTTAATCTGGGATGTAATCATTAATTATGTATAAATATAGGACATTTAGACAGAGATTTCACAGTGTACCAAAAGCATGATCCATAAAAGAAATATTGATAAACTGGATTTGATTAATATTAAAAACTTTTGCTCTTTGAAAGACCCTTTTAAGAGGATAAAATGATAGGCTACAGAGTAGGAAAGAACCACATACCTGACAAAGGACTTGTATCTAGAATATAGAAAGAACTCTTGAAACTTAACAGCTGAAAACCAAGCGATCTAATTAGAAAATGGGCAAAAGATATGAAGAGACATTTCACCAAAGAAGATGCACAGATGGCAAATAAGCACATGAAAAGTTTATCAAAATCACTAGCCATTAGGAAAATGCCAGTTAAGCCCATGATGACATATCATTACATGCCTATTAGAACAGCTAAAAAAAAAAAAAATAGTGACAATATCAAAAGCTGGCAAGGACATGGGAAAACTGGATCTCTCATACACTGCTGGTGGAAACATAAAATGGTATACCAGAGTGGGTACACTCTGGAAAACAGTTTAGCAGTTTCTTAAAAAAACTAAACATATACATGTGATCCAGCAGTAGCATATGACAACTCTCCCGAAGAAATGAAAACTTACGTTCACACAAAAACCTATACGTAAATGTTCCTTTCAGATTCCCTTATGATAGCCAAAAACTAGAAACAACCAAAATGTCCTTCAATAAGGAAACAGTTTAAACAAACTGAGATATATCCATACAACGCAATACTACTCAGCAATAAAAAGGACAAACTATCGACACGTGCAACATGGATGGACCTCAAAGGCATTATGTGGCGTGGAAAAGTCTATGTTAGAAGATCGCATATTGTGTGATTCTATTTATTTAACATTCTTAAAATGACCAAATTATGGAGCTAGAGAAGAGTCTAGTGGTTGCCAGGGGTTAGGAATGACGGGGGAGAGTGGTGGGAGTGACTACAAAGGGGTAGCATGAGCGATAGCTTTGTGGTGATGGAATAGTTCTGCTCTTGATTGTGGCGGTGGTTACGCAGATCTCCACGGGGGATAAAACGGCACAGAACTATATACCCACATACCACGTACCATCAATTCCTTATTTTCATATTGTACTATAGTTATGTAAGATGTAACCATTGGGGGAAATTGGGTGAAGGGTACATTGGATATCTGTACTATCTTTGCACTTTCTGTGAATATATAATTATTTAAAATTTTTTAAAAAAACCAAAAAAACACTAGCTAGTTTTCCTTTTTATTATTATTCATTTCATATTATCACTGAAAATAATTTTGCTGTGCAGAGGGTGGAGATCACTAAAATTGATCCACTTCAGATATCAGATAGTCTAGGAATGCCACTGAATATGCATGAGAGAAATGAATGCATACGCCCATCAAAA